GAAAAGAGTAGGGGTGTTACCCCGGCATCCTGGCTGAATTTCCTATTGCCCTTTACCAATCATGGCCTCCTAATAATCCCCCTCTCTGAACTGGCTTCATCACTTTGTTCTCCTCTCTACTGAGAGCTGGTGTGTGGGGAGAGTACTGGTGCACTATGGCTGCTGTTGCATCATCCAGGTGGGGCTGCGCACTGGTGGTGGTGGAGGGGAGTCCCCATTACCTGTAAAGCGCTTTCTAAGTGTAAGCAATTATTGACTGTTTTTATTACTCAACAGACTTGTTTCTCCTGTAGGGCAGTGACTTTGGCACTGGAAAGTAGAGAGCCAGGAAGTCAGGCAACACTGTGGTTTCTCCTGTCAGCAAGGGGCGATGGCTGAAAGTCTATATTTAGACAACAGGATACAGCTTTATCTGTGTTGTGAGGTTGCGCTGCCCCTTGAGCGCTTATCATGCAGCCTCTTGATTGTGTGAATGCTGAGGCTTGGCTGTGAGCTACAGGTTATCAGATAAGGCTGCTAGTGTGTTGGTTACATTGTGCAACTGGTGCTAATTCATGTCAGAAAGTCCTTGGCTGTAGCCCACATTTTTGCTTAAGCATGAATTTAATTGACTTGTACTTTTTTACACTTTTCACTCTTCCCCACTTTCATTTCTTCGTTACATTTTATTTTTTCCTGCTTTTAGTATTGATTTGCATCATAGATATACAAATGAAAATATAATTAATCTATATCAATGCAATTCTTTTATGGTCTCGCCTATCTTCGTCAGCCACATCGCTAATTCAATAATGTTGTTAACAATGTACAACAGAGGCCCACATATTAAAATGACATTGGTAATCGAATCCCTTTAGTCTTGTGAGATACTTAACCGTTACTCCATCATCCACTTGTGGCAATGCTGCAGAAGTGTTTATGAAGAAGGACCCCAACATCTGTAATACTTGACTTTTGAAGTAAAATGCATTAGTTCCAAACTACCATCTGAAATTAAAACAGGAGCAGTCAGTTCTGATTTCCTGCAAAAAGAGATTTCTTGACAGTTGTAGCTGCACATCACAAGAAAAATGAATGGTTACAACATGTAACATCTCTTGCAGTTATTTGAGATATCTCTTAGAAGCTAGACACCCTTGGGACTTGAATTTCCAGTACCATGGAGGCAAGGAAGAAAATTCCATGCAGTGTGTATAAGGTCACCTACATCTATGTTGCCTTTAGGACATTTTTCAAAGGCTTTAATGAACTAACATTGTCTGTAGGGTTTTATTACACTGGGAGACATTACAAACACGGCGAATGGTTCCGATACACATTTAGTGTATTGGAATTTACAGAATATATGTGGTGCAAAATCAGAAGGCAAGTTATTTAAAGGTCCATGATAGTTTGTCTTGTTTTTAATTGTTCACAAAAAGACTTTAAATTGTTGAATGTTGGCGCCTGAAATAATTTGGCCCCCGAAACCTTTCAAAGGTTGCCTGGTTCCCAAACAGGCTTGACAGAGCTGTCTGAACTGTCCTCTTATTTCATCATACAGTACCTCTGTGTAAATGTAATTTTTCCCTTGAATTTCTAATTGCAAACCTGTTCTTTTTATTGATAAAATGTAAAAATGTCTTGTTAAGCAGAAGATGTTTGAATAGTTAATTAGTATTAATCCATCCATCTCTTAGAATATGCTGCAGTAAAGGTATATTATTTCCACATTGTGGTTATTATTGAAATATTTCTGTGAAACAGTATATCCAATCAACATATTTTTTTCTTTGGAATGTTGAATCAAAATTTGAAATGTAAAAATGTGTTTGACAAGAAAAGACTCCCTGCTTAATTCTAGTTAAAAGCCAAACATGTCATGTTAGAATTGCAAAACGTACTGCTGAAAAAAA